GGAGGTGCCTGCCCAGCCGTACCCCCAGTCAGGAGGTCCCAATCTTGACTAATTGTGTAACCTCTGCACAGAGGACATAAAAGTCTGCAGACCTCTGCCTGCAGCTAATCCTTAACAAATCTATTTAATTCATACTTGCAAATAGCCTATAGAGGCTAGCTCCTTACATTTAGATTTGTTCATCCTCTTTATTTATTTATTTATTAAGCATCTGCAAGGAACCACTTATAATAAGCAAAAATACTAACGCTGTTGTAGGGCGCCTTGTTAAATATAGAATTAAACTCTGCTTAAGTACTAACTCCTAATTAGACGTTCGCACAGAATTGCAACACTGCGCGAGCACTCTAGCACCTGCGGAATGGCTAGAGACCATTTACGAACGCGCTCTGACTCTGTTGGCCACTCACTCAGCCTAGGCCGCCCTGCCCAAAGATATAGTCAGGTTGCCAGAGGTTAAACAGCTAACAACTGGACCTCTAAACCCTCTACAAACACCTTAGCAATCCTAACTAATAGTTAATATAATAAACAAATACATACAACAGGCTATCTAAGCAGGCATACAGGCGTACAAGGACAAGGAACAGTAGAGATTAGTAATAGCTAATATCTCTCCTGCCCTAACAACAGCTGCTACTGTAACCTAGTTAGGCTTTACAAAGCTTAAGCTTCCTAATATAGGGAAGTTTAATAGTAACTACTAGCTCTATTAGATATTTAAGTCCTAGATAATAGACAAGCTTACTTCTATAGGAGAATATTAATTAATCCTAGGCGTAGCGTACATGTTTAACTAATTAGAAGGGCAAGCTGCCTAGGTTAGTCTGTCCTAGAAATCCTACTACCTATTAGGATTAACTATAGAATTCTAGAGCTTCCTTAATAAATAATACTAAGATACCTAGTTTAAAGAAAGATCTTGTTAGAAGCTACAGATAATTATAATAAAGAAAAATAGATAAAGCCTTAAAGCCTTTAATATAGAGTTTGTCTAGCTAGCCTTTAATACTAGAGAAGAAGAAAATAAATAGAACCTTAAGATAAGGTATATATCTACTATCTATAGCAACCTTTAGGACAAGATAGTATCTATAGAAGTCCTTAAAGAATAGGAACTTTAGACCCTTATAGTATAAGTCTTAAAAGTAGAGACTAACCTAAGGTAAGTTAAGACTTACACCTATAACATGTTGTTTAGACAACAACCTAGAAGGAAGGATAACAATAAGATAGACTAGGAACCTACAAAAGTCTACGCTGCGCGCATGGACAATAACAACAACAACAACAAACACAAACGAGCTGAATAGAAACCACAAGAGGTCCTTGACAGGCGAAGGGCTAACAACTAGTGCCTCTAGTGTGGCAGAGACGGCCACTACGTTAACTGATGCAAGCTAGCCCTAGCTAGACAACTAGGTACTGTACAGGTCAGCGCAGCTGCCACAACAAACAGTGTGGAGGAATACTTAGACTTGAATAATTCTGATTTAGAAAACTAGAACCTCCTGTCCTAAGTTGCAGACAGGGGTGAATTAGTAAGGATAACTAGGATAGCAAGTTATTCTAGTAGTTCTATTAGCAATAGCTAGATAGTAAACCTATCTTGTTGCATGTTTTAATAGATAACAAGACTGTAGCACACATACTAATTAATACTAGGTGCTTAACTTACAGAATTATCTCTTTAAGCTTTGTAACACAAAACAACCTTAGGCGTATCTCTATACTAAGGAAATAAGTTGTTAGCGTAGCTAGTAAGATAACCTAGCTAAAGAAAGCAGTTAGGATAAGGATTAATATTAACAGCTATGTTAAATAGATGTTTGTGTATGTCCTTAAAGGAGAATGTAAATACAACCTAATCTTAGGCTGCCTATAGATAGATAAGCATAAAGTGACCCTAGCGCCAGCTAAGAAGTCACTGTTTATCTACTTGTCTATAACAAGGGTGCAGAGTAAAGAAGGCATCAGACTAGAGCTAGTACCACAGTAGGTTAGCCTAGAGCTGTACAGGGCACTACAAAAGTAGTTAAAGAAAGATTCTTTAATAGAAATCTTCTCTGCTTCTATAGCAGACATACAGAAAGCCTTAAAAAAAAAGGCCTCTAGGGACCCTTATGTCCTCCTCCCTAACTACCTAAAGGAGGAGTTCTGGACGTTTATAAAGGAAGAAGTAGACAAACTAGCTCTACACAGAGGAGCAGACGTTGACTATGCTATTAAGCTTATTAAGTAGGACAGCAAACTAGCAATAATCCCTTAGGGACCCCTATACAGCATGTTAAGAGAAGAACTCTTAGTCCTCCACTAACAACTAACTAGCTACCTAGACAGGAGCTTCATTTGTGTGAGCAAATCTAGCACCTCAGCGCTAGTGCTATTCGCCTAGAAACCTAGCAGAGGTCTCTAATTTTGCGTTAACTACTAGGCACTTAACATAATTACAAAAAAAGACTAGTACCCCCTACTACTAATCTATAAAACCCTATTATAAATCTTAAAGGCTAAATAGTTTACTAAAGTTAACATAATCTAAGTATTCTAAAAAATTTACATTACTAAAGGTAATAAGTAGAAAATAGCCTTCTAGACAAGGTTTAGACTATATAAGTAGCTTATAACCCCCTTTAGACTTGCTAACACCCCTAGTACCTTTTAATAGTATATTAATTAGGTACTATAGGAAGATCTAGATAAATAGTGTTCTATGTATATAGACAACATACTTATCTACTTAAGTAGGTTATAAGCAGAACACAAAGCTAAAGTTAAGGACATTATTTAGAAGTTAGGTAATACAGGCCTCTACTTAGATATTAAGAAGTATAAGTTCTCTATTAAGAAGACTAAGTACCTTAGCTTTATTATTAAAGCAGGTAAGGGGATCTAGATAGATCTAGGAAAAGTTACTACTATTAAGGCCTAGGAACCCCTAAAATTAGTAAAAGGGATATAGAGCTTCCTAGGGTTTACTAACTTCTATTAATAGTTTGTTAGTAACTTCTCCTTAATAGCAGAACTACTAACTTAGTTAACAGGGAAGAATTTAGTGTTTAAGTAGGGGAAGCCTTAATAATTAGCCTTTAAGGCTATAAAGATAGTATTTATCCTAGAACCTGCGCTGTTAAACTTTAACAAGGACCTAAAGATAATCCTAGAGTGTAACGCCTCTAGATAGGCCACTAGGGGAGTACTGTCGCAGTACAGGACTAATAGCGTCCTATAGACTGTTGCATACTTCTCCACAAAAAACACAAAGGCCAAGGTAAACTACACTATCTACAACAAGGAGATGCTGGCAGTTATTAAGTGCCTCTAGGAATAGAGCACTAAGCTAAGATCTATAAAACACTTTATAGTTATTACTAACTACAAGAATCTAGAGTACTTCTGCAAAACAAGGTTGCTGTTAGAAAGGCACATTAGGTAGTTAAGCTTGTTAAGCTAGTTTAATCTAATATTTATGTACTATCCTAGAAAAGTTAATAGCTAGGCTAATGCCTTGTCTAGACGCAAAGAGGACTTGCCACCCCTAACAGGCAATAATTAAACACAAACACAAAAATTCTAGTTACTAAAACTATTTGCTTAGGTACAAAAACCTGCTTATAATAAGGGGGAGGTAGGTGCTACAGTGGCATTCTTAGCAAAAATTTGCCCTATATCCCTCTAGTGCGCAGAAGGCCTCCAACCAGCACAGTTAACTATAGCTAAACCACCTAGTATCCACTCTGTTACAACACACGCCTGTAGACAAGAAGTCTAGACAGGTAACAGCTACTAAGAAGACAAACCTTATAACAATATTAACGCACAGGAGCAACTATAGGCAACTATAGCTATAGTAGATAATACCTACTAACTAGCAAGAGACATAATCTTGTCTAGCGCACAGAAGTTCCCTCTGCAACTAGGTCTTAAAGTCTTACTTACAGAATATTTAGTTAATAATCTAGGGCAACTGCGCTACTACAAGTAGAAATAGGTACCTAATTTAGAAGTCCTAAGAGGACAGATTATTAATAAGATCTACTACTTGCCTATTGTAGGTTACCTAGGTAGAGGTAATATATACTTAATATTGTCCTGCTTATACTTCTAGCCTAGGATGTTATTAGCATTGCAGAGGTATGTAGAGAACTGCAACATCTACAGACGTACAAAGCTATAGAGAGAACTAAAACAAGGATTACTAAAGCTGCTCCTAATACCTAAAAGGATCTAGAAGGAAATCTATATAGACTTTATTACAGACCTTCTAGAAAGTAAGAGTAACTAGAACCTTATAGTAGTTACAGATTGTCTTTCTAAGGACGTAACCTTTATTCTACTACCTAGCTTATAGGTTAATATAGTAGTAAAAGCGTTTCTTACATATATAGTAGCACACTACTAGCTCCCTAACACTATTATATTAGACTAAGGATCTTAGTTCTTAATTAACTTCTAGACAGTTATGTGTCGCATGCTAAAGATTACACAGAGGTTATTAACTATGTTTTACCTACAAACTAATAGGAGCACTAAACGCATAAACTCTGTAGTAGAAGCCTACCTCTGTGCTTACACTAACTAGTTGCAGAAAGACTAGGCCTAATAGGTACCTATTGCCTAAATCGCGATTAAAGGGAGAATTGCCGCATCTACAGGCGTAAGTCCCTTCTTCTTACAACACAGGTACAATGTAGACGTCGTCTAGGAGGACCTAGACCTAACAGCAGAGCTATTACACTCCTACACAAGGTCTCTAGGTAAAGCAGCTATTACTATAACTAAGAAGTTTGTTAAGACGTTTAGCTTTGCACAATCTAAGATAGCAGAAGATTAACAAGCACAAGAACTACAGGCTAACAAGCACTACAAAGAGGCTCCCTAGTTGCAGGTAGGCGACAAGGTATGGCTTAAACTAGGTACTCACTTCTCTAACAACAGGGAAAGCTAGAAACTAGACTAGAAGAACTAGAAGTTTACTGTTATAGAGGTAGTGTCTCCTTACAATATTAAACTTAATATTAAAGGGAACATCTACCCTGTTTTTCATGTTAAGTGGCTACGCCTATGCCCCTAGAACCCTCTGCATAGCTAAACTAACAATAACTAACAGCTAGGCCTGCTTATAGTTGTAAACAATAATAGGTTGTTAGCAGAGGAATAGGAGGTTAAACAAATTAACGCAGAACAAGTAATAGGGACTAGTGGTTGTGACTGTTTGTATCTTGTGAAGTGGCGCAGCTATGCAAAAGCAACGTGGGAACTAGCAGCAACGTGCGAGGACTTAGAGGCCCTAGACAACTAGGTAGTGTTCTCTATAAACTATAGAGACAAGAATAGTAACTTACCTACTAATTTCTATTACAAACCCCTTACAGGAGTTTACACATAAGCTAACACCTTAAATATAGTGTTAGAGAAGAGGAAGAGGAAGACTATAGGCTACTATTAGGGCACGCATAAAGGAGGGAGGGAATGTAAAAATAAATAATAGTCTATTTAAGAAGCTACTCTAGAAGTAGCTACTCTAACTTTAGAGTATCTAGGAGGGCCGTAGCCAGGTATTGTTTATTAAAAAAAAGCAAAAAAGAAACTCTAAACGCTAATAGCTAACCTAAGAGGGGCGCCTTAAAGAACCCCATTATCCTCGTCCTAAAGACGCTCCTTCTCCTTCGCAACCAGGGCCTCTGCCTCTAGTTGGAGCTGGGCCATGATGTTGGCAGAAGTGGTCACAGGAGCCGCTATGCCAACACGCTCGCAGAAGGACGCTCTAAGGTCAAGAACGTGCGCATAAAGAGACAATAGATACAGAAGCTGCAGAACTATAAGCACGAAGGAACAAAGCCTAGGGAAATACTTACAATCTGCTTCTACTATTAAAGGATCTCCTTACAAGCTAGAGTAGTACGCTTAGCAAACTTAACCTCTAGGCAAGGACAGGCAAGCATAGCGTTAATCTCCTCCTTGTAGTTAGACCACTTAAGGTTATAACTAGCAACGCTACTACAACTAGAACAAGGGTAAGAGTCTAACTTGGCGTGCTTAGGGAGGTTCATGCGCTTCTCTAGCGCTAGCCTAACAGGCGCAGAGTACTTAAGAAGGTGCGACGGCTTCTTAGAGACATAAGAAGCTACCTTATACTTCACTAAAGTACTAAAGGTCTTGCAGGGCAGCTGCCTAACATTAGCACACTGTAAAAGGGGAACTGCAGTAACTTTACCTTAATATAAGCAGTCTGCTTCTAAGCATATACATTGCAAGCAGACTTGCAAACCTTAGCGCCCCTCTTGCAAGCATCCCTAGAGAACATGCAGGTAAAACCCTCTAAAGCGCAGCTAGTGCAAACCTCTAGGTTAGCAAACCTAAGGGCGTGCGCAGTATAGGGAGACTGCTTAGCCTTATTAGAGACTTCCTTAATGTTGTCCTTGTTATTAGAGACAAGCATTACATTAACCTCTTCTTTGTCTATAATAATATTATTAGGCCTAATTAGCCTCTTAGACAGGCATGCAATAGAGGGAGACCTAGATGGGGGACGCTACGCAGGGGTCTTAGCGAAATCGCAATCAGCAAAAAGCACCACAACACTCACCTTGCCCTGGCGAGGCTTGGACGGGGTCTTAGGAGCCATGATGGGCGGCAGAACAGTTGTAGCGGGGCAGGGGACAGCGGCTTGTGGTACGATGTTAGAGACAAGCTAGTTGGCAGAGTAGTGGGCAGCACGACTAGATTCAGTGTTTTGACCCAGGGACGCGTTATAAACAACGCGATAAGTGGGGGGGTACTGTAACAGGCTAGGCCTGATGGTAGCGCCTCGGCGCTCGCTGGCCTCGGCCAACCTCCAAGAGGAGGTGCCTGCCCAGCCGTACCCCTAGTCAGGAGGTCCCAATCTTGACTAATTGTGTAACCTCCGCACGGAGGACATAAAAGTCTGCAGACCTCCGCCTGCAGCCACTCCTCAACAAATCCATTTGATTCATACTTGCAAATAGCCCGCAGAGGCCAGCTCCTTACAAGCACCACCTCTCTGCCTGGTACAAGGAGCCTAGTATACCTAACAACTAGGTTCTTAATGTCTCTAACAACGGCTAGACTAACAACAAGCTTAGAGTTAAGTGGTTGAAGCACTTTGATAAGCACACAAAGGCGCACACTGTTGGCAGCTATTGGCTGCTTATTCTGGACGGCCACGAGAGCCACAACTCAGTCGAATTCCACCAGTACTGCGAGGAACACAAGATTATTACCCTGTGTATGCCTCCACACTCGTCGCACCTACTGCAGCCACTTGACGTAGGCTGTTTTGCCCTGTTAAAGAAGGCCTATAGCCGCCAAGCTGAGCGGCTAATGCGCAGCAAGATTACGCGTATCACTAAACTTGAGTTCTTGCTGTGCTTCAAAGCAGCTTTTGACGCCTCAATTACAGAGAGTAACATCTAGGGAGGATTTAGAGGTGCTGGCCTAGTCCTACTTGACCCAGAGGCTGTGCTATCAAAGCTTGAAGTACAGCTGCACACACCAACGCCACCTACTGTGGACAATAGTACGTAGGAGTCTAAAACACTAAGCAACACCCTAGAATTTAGGTCTTAATTAAAGCTAATTTGAGAGAGGATTTAGAGACACGCTGATAGCTTGCCAACGTCTATAGTTAACGCTCTTAATTAGCTCACTAAAGGCGCAGAGCTGATAGCGCATTCACTAGTTTTACTGCGCAACCAGGTTGCTGACCTACAGGCAGCCAACGAGGCCGCCACACGTCGTAAATCACACAAAAGGAAGCAAGTACAGCGAGAAGGGACTCTAACCTTTGCTAAGGGAGTGTGGCTGACTACTCTAAAGGAGTTTAAGGCCTGTAGTGATGGGAAGAAGGCAAAGAAGAGGTCACGCGTTGATGGGAGCACTTAGTCTTTAAGGCGCTGTGGCACATGTGGCGAGACAGGGCACAACAGAACAACTTGTAAGAAAGATGCGTAAAGTACTATAGATTAGAACAATATACTGTGTAGCATAGTAGAATGCTGCTGTGTACTAAGGTACTGCAAAGTAGTTATAGTGTTGGTGTGGTCTTGGCAAAAGTGACCGGTACACTTGGGTGACCGGCATGCTTGTGGAGTACGTTATAAGGTTCTTAATTTGTTCTTAAATCCTGTCTAGAGGCACGCTGTTTAGCACTTCTATTAACTCCCTATTTACTAGACTAAGTTGCTAGAGGAAACCTTCCTACTTGTTTACTAGGAGTACCTTTGTAAGTCTATCTGCTATTATGCTTGCAGACTAGACATATTCTATAATAACCTTTCTAGCAGCTACCTCCTATTAGAGCTAGTAGTTGTAGATATCTATATACTAAAGTTTAGAATGTAGTTATAACACTTCCTTAGTGACTAGTTAAATTATTTATTTGTTATTATATCATATTATAATAGCGTGTGCACCTATATTAATGTGTAATTTTTGCAAGAGCCTTAAGATAAAGAGTGCTTCTTTTGTAACCTAGGTAAGAGTAAGAAGCTTAGCCTTAACGTAGATTATCACCGAGCTGGCCATATCACCAAACCAGCCAATTTCTCTTAGCACGACTAACACAAGTTACTGCAACTACAACTACTTGCTATTAAATAGTGACCTAGCATACTTTGTGCTTGTATTAGATTTAGAAGATATTTCTGCACCCTCCTAGCATGTTTGTGTGTTGTGTCTAGTTTTGCTGCAGTTCCTACAGCGCTGAACAGTTGACTAAGCTCCTAGTTGACCACCTCCACCCTAAGTCTTCTTAGATGGCTGAGCTGCTACACACGCCTCAGCAGCTACCCGCGATGCTGCTGGGCCATACTCAAGTGTGCCACCATGCTGAATCTGCTTTCTCTTACGCGATTTTCTCTTAGTTATTACTGCTAATTACTCTTTAAGCTCTCGCACGCAGGCCTTAATAAGGACGTTTTTGTGCAATATCTCTTTAGCCCCTTTTATAAGCTTTAAGAACCCCTCTTACGCTATACTTAGTAATTGTTAGAAGGAGTTGCTAATAAGCTTAGATTAAGACTAAAACTTGTGTGTATTGCTTAGTGTCTTAGATTGCTATAGTATTTTAGGTAGAGGTACTGCTAGTAGGGTATACAGCCGCACTTTAAGGCGATCTAACACTACCTGCATGTTAGTAGGAATAAGCCCTAATGCCTTAAAGGCCTTTTAGCAGTTAACCTTTATAAATATATTAAGGAATATATCCCTAAAGGCTAGTAGGAAGCCTTCCTTATTAATATAGAAGACGTGTTAGTGTGCTAAGTCTTAAATATATTAGGAGTACTTACGCTTTAATAGCAAGAAACAGACTATATTAAGTAGCTAGAGGATGTATAATAAGTAAGGTAGTATATAGAGAGTAAGGATTTAGTTCTCTAGGCAATAGTCCTTAAACTCCTAGTTAAGATAGCTCTTATAGCTGTCTAAGATAAGTAACCTGTACACTCCTACCTAACATGTCTTTATATGCGTGTTAAAGTGCTTTAACTACTTAAGGCTAAGCATATTATTTATCTAACTATTCTTAGAGACTAAGAGCTTCTAATTGTGGGGTATATCTGTCTCCTTATACTAGGCAGAGATGTGGACACGTCCTTTGTAGATAATAAAAGGTAGGGTTGCATACCCAGCAGCGCAGATGCTCTAGATAACAGTAACCCACTCACGATCACCTGGCTAAACAAGCTCTAGCTAAGCACGTCTCTCTAAGCCTGTTACAACCTTTAAAGACAAAGCAACGCCTATCTAGAACCTAGTTTTATTAAAGTTGTGCATGTTATTGTTGTAAACGCTATACTTAACTTAAGTATCCTCTACTAGATTAAACTACGCGCTAATTATCTTAGGATCTTCCTATAGTATCCTCTGTCTATCCTTGTCTTAATTAAAGGCTATTTTAAGCTTGTCTAAACGCGTCACAAGCCTGCTAGCCTATAGTTTGCTAACAGGCTCTTCACTACGCACACTAAGTATCTTATTAGCTATATCTGCCACCTTACATAGCTAGGGCGCAAATCCTTGCGAATCAAGGTTAAGTATATACTAGATAATTATCTGCTCCTCTAGTATAGTAAGTTTCTAGCAATTAGCGCGTACGTCTAGTTAAAACGTGATATTGCAAAGGCAATTAGAGACCTACTAATAAGGTACATTTAACGCTCTAGCAGCGCTGCAGATACTGCGAAATTGGCTAGCATAGAAGGCCTAGATAGCAAGGATAACTCTACCTTCTCTAGTAGTATTCTGAAGTTGTTGTTGTTAAGGCATGTTGTGTTAGGGTAAAAGGTGGTCGTGCTAAGAGAAAGTGGCTGGTTTGGTGATATGGCCGGCTTGGTGATAATCTACGGTTATTAATATTATTACTATGTCCTACTTATTTACTTTCTATGTAATAAGGCTACTAAAGAGTTTAATTGTGTAGCCTTAGGAGCTCTTTCTATCTATAGTGTTGTCAGCAAAGGACGCGTCACTTGCTACCTAGAGGCTGATGCCTCCTCTAAGCTGCAGTGATTGCTGTTTAGTGTTGAGTAGATATAGAAGGACCCAGTCCGCAGCATCGTAGTGGCTGATGCCTGGATTAGTGAGGAACCTGGCAAGCCTTGATGTGGCGAACGCAATGTCAGGTCGCGTGGTGACTGCAGCAAACAGCAGTGATCTAATTTTGCGTTAATACTTGTTAATTTCTGCTAGCGCTGCTAGTCCACTCCTTAGCTGTAGTTTAGTTGTTGCTATTAGAGTGTTATGTTGTATAGTTGTGTTATTAGCAAGGCAACTAATTTTGTCTAAGTACACTGCCTAAGATAGGTAGATTTTCTTGCTTGCTTAGTCTTGTATAATCTCTATACTAAGGAACTACTATAGGTTGTGCCCTCCTATGCAGGTGTACTTACTCTGTACGTGGCTAATTGTCTGCATTACCTCTTACTCTTTTAATTTATTATACATAACCTGTTTTATCAGTGAGCGCCCCACCTCAGTGAGCGCCCCACGAACACCAGCAAAGCGCATGCGCGACACTCAACGCGTAATGTCTCAACAACCACAACCTCACAAGCCCTATACTAAAGCTGACGTGCAGCTTACCCTCTCTAACATTAAATGCGACCAGATTACGAGCCTGCAACGTGCTAAGGCAGTCCATAGCGTTCCTTGTAGGACAATACAACAACAACGTGACAGGAAGCCCTCTAGACGCGACTGCAAGCCTAGATTAAAGCGCCTAACAAAGCTAGAAGAGGAGGTAATTCTGCAGCGTATACTTGACAAGAACCTACGTGGAGTACCACCCTTAAAGCTACACGTACAAGATATAGCTAATAGACTGCTGCGCAACCGCGGCAGTAAGCCTGTTAGTAAATGCTAGGTTGACAGGTTTATTAAGCGTACACCTAAGCTGCGCACGCGCTAGACTTGTCTATACAATTACTAGCAAGCTCTCTGCAAAGACCTAGCAATTATTAAGCCCTAGTTCACGCTAGTTTAGAACATAAAGGCGAAGTATAGTATTATAGACAATAACATGTACAACTTTAACAAGTCTAGCTTCCTAATAGGCAAGATATCTTTATAACTTGTTGTAACAGGCATAGAGAAACCTAGGAAAGTAAAGAAGCTTTAGCCTAGTAATTGCAAGTAGACTACATTAATATAGGGCGTTAGCGCAACAGGGCGTGTTATCCTACCCTTCCTTATCTTTACTAGCAAGGTTCTTATCTCTAACTAGTTTACTAAGGACCTCCTACGTAATTAGGTTATTTAAGTAAGCCTAACAGGCTAGATAAACAACAATCTAGCGCTTGCCTAGCTTAATTACTTTAATACGCATGCAAGGCCTGTAGGAGCGTATAGGCTGCTGATTATTAACAGCTACAAGAGCTATTGCTTAATAGATTTCTAGGATTGCTGCAAGGAGAAGAAGATTATTGCCCTCTGTATACCTCTACACTCGTTGCACCTCCTGCAGCCGCTTAACGTCGCCTGTTTCCTGCCATTAAAGCGCGCGTACAGTAATTAGATCTTAGCCTTAGTATGTAATTGTATTAACTATATTAGTAAACAGACCTTCTTACTAGCCTTTAAAGTAGCTTTTAAGAAGGCATTTACAAGAGAGAATGCTTGCACAGGGTTTTAAGGCGCTGGATTGTCTCTACATAATCCACAGGCTGTGTTATTAAAGCTGGATGTGCAGCTGTGTACGCAAACTCTACCACAGCAAGTTAACGCTGCTTGGGAGGCGAAAACACTACGCAACGCTAAAGAAATAGAGGCGCAATTAACACTAGTTTAAAATAGGATAAAAATCTATTAAGGGTCTCTAGCAAGTTTACTTAATAAGCAGGGGTAGTAGCTAACAAAAGGCGCGTAGTAGATAGCTTATAAGATAGTGTTAATATGCGCAGAGATAGTGCGCCTTAATACTGCTACTAAAGTAGCAACAAAGTGTAAAAGTTGCAAGAGACGCTACGTACAGGTAGAGGAGACATTAATAGTTAGCAAGGTATTAGACTTAATTGCTAAAAGGGAGGGTGGCAGATGTAAGGAGGGTAAGGAGCTAGCAAAGAGGGTGCGCGCAGGGCGACGCTGCGGCTGTTGCAGTGAGATTAGGCACAACTCTTGCACCTGCAAGGTAGAAATTAAGGATATAAATAACAGCAACGCTTCTAAATAATACTATACTGTTGCAAGAGTACAAAATTTGTGTTGTGGTGCTAAGCTACGTCGCTGCGCGTACGCCTCGCTGGTGTTCGTGGGGCGCTCACTGAGGTGGGGCGCTCACTGATAAAACAGGTTAAGGATAATATTGTTAATATAAAAGAAGATAATAATACTACCCTTGGTTAGACAGCAGGGTTTGTGAGGCATAGTCTAGAAACCTAGTGCTTTTAGTGTTGCAGTGAAGTTCTTCTACTAGAGGAGGGGAGAGATGTGTAGGCTGTAAAGTGCCTTATTTACTTGCAGTATTATGCTAGGATTCTAATAGCCTTAGGGCATCCTTATGTAGACCTCTCTGTCCATTGTAGCATGAACAAACGTGTTAGTAACGTTGTAATGTTTAAGCTCTATGTTATAGTAAGCTGCTATAGCTATTATTATTTAAAAGGATTAGCTAGCAAGCGTGGCTATGTAGTTGTCTTATAATGTAATATTACATTATTAATTACCTCTAACTACTAGTTACACCTTACACTTTAGTAGTTAATAATGTCTATTAAGCTTATAGGTATTAGTCTAATTTTCTAAAGTAGTACTTCTAACTAAAATTTTATTTCTTAGTAGCTTGTAAGGTGCTCTTACTTAGCTTCTTAAAAGAGTTTTCCTATAGGGTGATCCTTAAGCTTAGTTTAGAATGTAGGCAGAGGTAGAAGTTAACTTTAATAGGGCTTTAAGCCTTTAGTAAGTATTCTTATTATCTTAGCCTTATCTATAACTTCTCCTCTGTATGTTCTAACATGTCTAGCCTAGGTTCCTGCAAGGAATGATGCTGCCTATAGGACAATAGTTAAGGACGCTTGTTGTGTTAGAGTGTAGTAGTCTGGCCAAAGGCCAATAAAGGATATCTACTTCATAACAACTTTTGCTAAAAAGCATGCACAAGTTAACTAGACGCCTAGTTAACTGCGTAGATAATATATATCCAGCTTAAGCCAAGCCGGCTAAGCTAATGTAACCGGCTAGCTCTAGCTCTTCTTTAGCTTTGGAGTCTAGACCGTTACATAGAGTTGTTTACTCACTAGCCATAATGCCTGCAAGTAGTGCTGCAGGTGGTGGTGTTAATAGAGGGGTAGGATAGCTATCCTGTATCTTCTGTCTGTGATAGTAGCCTAGCAGGTCTGCTTTGTCTTGTAGTAACAGCTCTGCTAGGGCTTTATCCTTATAAAAGGAATCTATTTCTAGTTACTAGGTAGGTGTTAGTAGCTTAATAGATTATATATATATTACTATTTCTTTAAGTGTGTTATGTATAAGGTTCTCTATAAGGTCCTTAATTCTCCTAGTAAATACTATGTCTTTGTTAAATATAATATCTTAAGTGCTTATTACCTTGCTAAGTAATAGTGTCTAGATTTAATAGATATTTAATAACTAGTAGCCTACTAGATAGCTAGTCTAGGCCTTTAGGTCTAATTATTAAAGACGTAATTTGCCTCTGTGTGTATTATCTATTATAGTAAACACTTTGCACCTATATACTCTTAGGTGTATAAGGTTAGGTTTTTACAGTAATATTACTATTCTATTGCTAAAGGCAACTTACATAAAGAATATTTTATAAAGTGTTTTCTAATAATTTGCGTACCTTAGTGTTTAATTGTAGAGGTATACTGCCGCCCTTGTGATATCTAGCCACAGTTCCTAGGAGAGGTTGGCATTAAGTTGTATTGCGCAAGCTTTCTCCTTGTTCACACCCCCTAAGCGTTCTGCATTACTATTCTGTGCTTATGTGTCTGGCGCTAAAGGCTCCACAATAACTCCTTGTGTTGCTAGCTATTTTAATATATCTAGTTTAACTATGGCTATCTTGTTTTCTTCCTTAATAGTCTTAGCTAAGATATTATAGTAATTTCTTAAGAACAAGATAAATATTAATAGTGCCTTAATAATTAACGTGTTTCACAAGCGAGCGCCGCACCCAACCGAGCGCCGCACTCTCGCTGCCAGAACGCCGGCGCAACAACAGCGCGTAATGTCTCAACCACAACAAGCTCCTACACTCTATACTGAAGCTGATGTACACCTTACTATATTAAATATCTCAAAAACTAAATTCAAAGTATCTAACTTACTAAGAAAGTCTACAAAGTGCCTAAATAAACAATCTAATGCTAACGCAACAGAACACGCTCTTAACGCGACTGCAAGCTAAATGCAAAGCGCCTTACAAAGCTAGAAGAGGAGGCAGTTGTACTACGTATACTTAAGGAGTCTGCACGTGGCCTACCCTCCTTAAAGGCAGACGTACAAGATATGGCAGATAAACTGCTAAGAGAGCGCAGCGCAAAGCCTGTTAGTAAGAACTAGGTTAACAACTTAGTAAAGCGTACACTAGAGCTCTAGAAGCGGTGGACCCACCAATACGATCGCCAGCGGGCTGCCTGCAAGGACCCAGCAGTTATCTAGCCCTAGTTCACGCTTGTTTAGTCTATAAAGGCAAAGTATAGTATTATAGACAAGGATGTGTACAACTTTAATAAGTCCAGCTTCCTAATAGGCAAGATCTTGTTGTAGCTAGTAGTAATAGGCTTAGAGAAGCCTAGGAAGTAGAAGAAGATCTAACCTAGCAATTGTAAGTAGGTTACCCTAGTATAAGGCGTTAGGTTAATAGAGAAGGTTATCCTACTATTTCTTATCCTTATAGGCAAGGTTATTATCTCTAACTAGTTTACTAAGGACCTCCTACAGGACTAGGTTATTAATATTAGTCCTACTAGCTAGACTAATAATAATCTAGCGCTTACCTAGCTCTACTACTTAAATACGCATGTGAAGCTAGTTAGGGTCTACTAGCTACTTATTATTAATAGCTATAAGAGCCACTGCTTTGTAGCTTTCTAAGATCTCTGCAGAGAGAAGAAGATAATCACTCTCTGTATGCCCCCGCACTCGTCGCACGTGTTGCAGCTACTTAACGTCACCTGCTTCTTGCCACTAAAGCGCCTGTATGGCGATGAGGTTTCAGCCTTAGCACGCAGTTACATCTACTATATTAACAAGGAAACCTTCCTGCCAGCCTTTAAATTAGTGTTTAGTAAGGCGTTTACTAGAGAGAACATTCGCGCAGGCTTTAGAGGTGCTAGGCTAGTCCCACATAACCTAGAGGTGGTGTTATCAAAGCTTGATGTGCGCCTGCGCACGCTAACGCCACCAAAACCCAGCGACGTCGCCTAGGAGCCAAAGACACCTGTCAGATAAGAGCGAGCGGCGAGAGGTCGGATCTGCGCAATCGAGCAGGGACCTGTCGTGCAGCCAATCAGCAGTTGCCAGGTCGATTAAGCGAGACCTGGCAACTCCTGATTGGCCCGCACACCGGCGGCCGCGAACAGCGCTAATTCCCCCCCCACTTCAATCCTGTAGCAACCAGCACGACGCGACGGCAGCGACACGATCGCCACGATCGTCAATAAATCATCATACCACCTAGATCTCGTTAAGCACATACTCTGGCTAACAGTACGAGCATCTGACAACACCACGCACTGCTTACAAAGTAGAGGAGCAGTTAACTCTAATTTAAAAGTAGATTTAAATCTATTAAGGGTCTCTAGCAAGTTTGTTAGATAAGTAGGTTAAACAGTTAGCAAAGGGCGCTTAGCAGATAGCTTATAATATAGTGTTAATGCAGGAGGAAATAGGCCACCTTTAAGACACTGTAGAAGCATCTACAAAGCACAAGACCTATAAGCAATAATATATACACACAGAGGAGACCCTTATAGTTAGTAAAGTAGCTAACTTAATTACTAAAAAGAAGGGTAGGGGTTATAGTAAGGGTAAGACGCCTGTAAAGAGGGTGTGTGTTAGACAACACTATAGGTGTTGTAGTAAGATTAGACACAATTTCTGCACTTATAAGGTAGAAATAGAGGATGTAGACAATAGTAAAGCTTCTAAATAATACTATCTAGGCCTGTAAACAATTATTTATTTGTGCTGTGTTGTGATATAGCGCTGCGCAGGCGTTCTGTTGTTGAAAATGCGGCGCTCGGTTGGGTGCGGCGCTCGCTTGTGAAACACGTTAACTTTGCTATGTAATAATCTATAAAGTAGAGGTCCTACTATAGGCCTAAGAACCTATTAGTAATAAGTATTTAGCTCTTTTCTTTAGTAACTCCTTATACTTTGTAGGAGTAGAAGTTAATACTAAGTCTTTCTCTAGGTCTTTTATTATTAATTCTTAGTTTGTAGGTAATTTACTTTTATAACTTAGCTATTCTATAAGTATTGTATTTAACTGTAGTAATACCTTAGATCTACACCCCCTAAGTCTGCTAGACAATGTATTTAATTGTAGCAGGACTAGGGTAACTAAGTTGCTTGTGCTACTGTATTCCTAAGGCCTTATATAGTCCTCTCTTAGTGTGTGTAGTAATTTTGTGTGTGTAGTTAGCAGCTAGTAGGGACAGTTTATACTTAAGCACCTACTAGCTAAGTATTTCTAATACTACTCTAATTACTTAGCTATTAACTTATTAGAGAGTTATTAGGTCTACTTATATATCCTACTACATGCCTCTATTTTATAGTAGGCAGAAGGACACTAGGTTACATAGCAGGTCTAGGCAAATTGCTACATCTATAAGGGTAACCTTAGTTGTCCTAGCTCTACTCATTAGGAGTAGATTAATTAATCTATATCCTCTAACTAGCACCTTAGAATTCCTAGCCTATATAAAGTCTCTAGGTAATAGCTATTAGAACCTATAGACACAGTTAGGGTTGTTAGTAATATAACAGGTAGAACCTAAGTTAAGTATAAATAACTTCTATAGTAGATATTTAGTAGTATCCTGTTAGTTTACTGTGCTAAGTGCTGCTTTAATATTAGTAATTTCTTAGCCTTCTAGTTAACTCTCTAGGATTTCTAGAGTAGGGGTGTGTAAGTGCTTTACTACTAGTGTTCTTAATTAGCTCTTACTTTATGTATAAAGTAGCCCTTAACAGGTAATATCTTTCTAATAATTAAACTTAATAAATTTATAAATATTCTTATTTAGTGTCTACTACTTAGGAGCTCTGTCTTAATTAACATAGTAGTAATTCTACATAGAGTAGCATTGTCTATATATAGGGTATTTTGCTCCCCTAGTAGAAGTAGGCTCTTAATCTAAAGGCTGCTTAAGTGTAGTAGTATTCCTACCTACTGTATATTAATATTAAGGTCTGCCCTAGTTAGATAGCATCCTTATAGTATGTTAGGCGTCCCCTTTATATCTCTAGGAGGCTGCACCCCCTTTAGTAAGAAACACTATATTGTTAGCTATAAAGGCCTTATACTACCCTAATATAAGGGGTTAAAATATTATTATATACTCTTAGTAACGTAGATTATCACCAAGCCGGCCATATCACTAAACCAGCCACTTTCTCTTGGCATGACCACCTTTTACCATAACACAACATGCCTTAATAACAACAACTTCAGAATACTACTAGAGAAGGCAAAGTTATCCTTGCTATCTAGGCCTTCTATGCTAGCTAATTTCGCAGTATCTACAGCGCTGCTAGAGCGTTAAATGTACCTTATTAGCAGGTCTCTAATTGCCTTTGCAATATCACGTTTTAACTAGACATAC